TTAATACACACTGAAATTGATAAGAAACAAAAAAAGAAAAGATGGGGAGAGCCTGAACATGGGCAGTGGGCATTAAGCTAGAAAGGAGGGAGCAGATTTTAAGAAACATTTAATGAATAAAATGGACAGGCTCAATACAGTAAAACAAAGACTCTCTGCTCCTCAGTCCTGCAGATTTTGACTGAGTCAAACCACCTCAGACTACTGCCTGGAACATGCTCTGCGAAAAACTGCCTACAGCAGTGAGAATCAAGTTCCAGCATTTTCCAGCTTTCAAATACCACCACCTTGTGTTTATAGGAGTAAAACAAGGGGCTTGAAATGCTTGTGCGCCTTCCAGGAAGAAGGAAATCTGTGTGACACCTTTTGGCATTTGGGGGATGGAAATTATGTCACAAGTGTATGTCAGCCGCCTTGTTTCCAACTCACTCAGGCCCAAGGGAACAAGCAACTAGGAGCTCCATGGAGCACCTGCAGTAAACATGAGTGTGTGTCTAATAAAATGCATTTGCAGAGCCCTGGTGCCTGGTGCGGCCACCCCATTAATACACAGGGAAATTAAGAATAGTGCCAGGAATGCACAACAGACACGCTGAGCACTTACACATTACACAACACATATGAAACCCAGGCCAAACAAAAGGAAGGGAGTACTTCACTCCTTTCCTCTGACCTACTTTTTTAAACATTTTTTTAAATTATTTTTTTTCTTTTTGAAATATATCCACTCCTCTCTTATCAACATGTTTAGGTTCCAAAGACCAGGTACTATGTGAAAGTCAGCATTATGGGGGAATGAAGGATGGCCATATCAGAACACAAAAGGGAGGATAACTATATCATCACATAACAGCTAAGTTACGTCACAATATAACTGCCAAATTCCATCAGTCCTGGAGTGGTGCTGTAGAATAAGCACTGGGCTGCTAACTGCAAGGTCAGCAGTTCAAACCTGCCAGCTGCTCCTTAGAAACCTTATACAGGGTCACCATGGGTCGGAACTGACTCGATGGCACTTAACAAAACAATAACTGTGGTTCAACCCCCACCCCCAGCACACCTTGAAAATCTTATACAGGATCAATATGGGCTGGAACTGACTCCATGGCACTTAACAACAACTGCCAAGCCAGTAAGAATCAGTGCACACACAAATCAACATACAAATATCACCATCATAACTAGCGACACTTTCACCTAGTACCTTGGCATTTGTTACTGCCAGCTAAACATTAATGTGAAAAATAGTAGGGTACTTGTTGTTGTTGTTGTTAAGTGCCCTCGAGTTGGTTCCAACCCATAGTGACCCTGAACAGGGTTTCCAAGGCTGTAAATCTTTACGGGAGCAGAAAGCCTCATCTTTCTCCCGCGGAGCAGCTGGTAGTTTTGAACTGCTGATCTTGCAGTTCGCAGCCCGATTCATAACCACTATGCTACCAGAGCTTAGATTTTTTTTATTATTGTCTTTATTATTGTCCTGACTAGCCAGGATTCCCAGTGGGTTCGCAGTTAAGAAAAGATGAAATCTACTACAGGCATAGTTAACTCTGATGATTATCTATGAGCAACCGAATCTACTGAAAGGATGTCTCCTTGGAGGTGTGTCCTGCTCCCAATATAATGGACACACAGGAAAGGCTCTCTCTCTCTTCTGCTGCAGACCTGGGACTCTATAATTATAAGCAATTCCCTTGATACAAACTTCTCTTTATATATATATACATATATATGTTTCATTGGTTTTGTTTCTCAGGAAAACCCAGCATAAGACAGTCGCAAATGCACAATGTTGGATAAAGAGATAATCGATAAGTGAGGTATAGGTGTATTTGGAGCTTCTACTATAGTTATAAGAAATACCACAGAGATATTCTATGTTCCCTTTACCCAGTTCCCCGCAATGGTAACATCTTGTATAATTATACTACAATATCATGATCAAGCTACTGACACTGGTAAAAACCATCAATTTTTTTCATATCTCTGCAGTTTTATTTGTACTCATGTGTGTGTATATTTAATTCCTCATAATTTTATCATGTATGTAAATTTGTACATTTTATACCAAAGTCAAGATTTCCTCTGACTTTTTAATTTACCTGCAAGTTTAAGATTTCTAGCAAAAAAAAAAAAAAAGAGAGAGAATGGAATTTTAGAGTTTCAGAAAGCTTATCTATCTTCTGAAGATATATGCTTGTCATTCTATTTTAGTAATATTTTCTAATTGGAAATAGGGAAAGAATGGGCATATTTTTGTATCAGGAAGCTTTTGAATTGACTGATGAACACTCAGTCTGATGGGGCGAAGCAAAAATAAGATTTTTGGAATCTAGAGTTGTAGTTGTTCTTAAGCACTGTCAAGACAATTCTGACTATAGTGACCCCGTGTAGAGTTTACAAGGAGTAGCTGGTGGATTTGAACCGCAGACCTTAAGGTTAACAGTCCAGTGCCTATCTTACAGCTTCACACCAGGAATCTGGAAGGGTAGATGCAAAACAGAACCTAATGAGTTTAAACCTAAATAACTATACATAGGGGAGCTGTACATTTTTTTAAAGGAACTTTTTATCGTGAATTGAGTGAAGGTTTACAGAGCAGATCATCAGTTTTTAAACTCAACAAACCACATACTTTATCTCAATAATTGCAATCCCCTCTAAGCAACATCATTTATCCCACTTCCTCCCTGTGGTTCTTGTTTCTATTCCTCCTTCTTTCTTAAAGCTTCTGAATGTTTTCCTTGGGTAAATGCTGCCCTCTTGATCCTGAATGGTTGTCCATTCTCTTGGTGTCAGTACCTCACTAGTTGCTGCCCCCTCTCTAGAACTATTCATTGCTTGGCTGAAAACTGAGCCACAGGGGATGGGGAGGGGGGGACAGGAATGCACTTTCAGAGAACAATCTCAGAAGTAGAAATGTTCAGCATAGGCTGGGGCAGGACCCAGTGGCCATGGAGGAGAAGATAGGGGTGGAGATGTAGCAAGAACGCATTTCCTTTGCTTTCAGAGACAGGAGATCCTGGTCTTTCAATATGGTACCAGGTCCCTATGGGTCATCTGAGACTTCTGGGAATGACTGGTAGATAGCCCCTCAAGAAGCAAGAATAAATGAAGATGGAGCTCACCGCCCCTGAAAATACAAAGATTGAGAATACAGGCTCCAGACTCAGGCTTACTCATCTCTTCTTTAATGCTCCTGAATCTCAGTGTCTTCATCTATCAAATGAGTGAAATCAAGCTAACTTTACGGGCATCCCTTTTAAGCAAGCAAGAAAAATAATAATAACTTAACCGATATCAAGTCCTCAGTACATGCCAGAAGTCCCTGGGTGGTTAACACGCTCAGTTGCTGACCTAAAGACTAGAGGTTTGAGTCCACTCAAAGGTACCTCCCAAAACAAGGTCTGGCAACCTACTTGGAAAAAATCAGCCATTGAAAATCCTGTGGAGCCCAGTTCTACTCTGACATACAATGAGTCAGAACGGACTCCGTGGCAATGGTTTGGTCTTGTTGTGCTTTTCAGTATATGCCAAACACTTTATATAAATTTTCATTTCATTCATTCATACACATATATGTGCTGTTATCTTCCCAATTTTATAATTATATATATTAAAAAAAACTACCCTTATCTAGGACCACCCAGCTAATCAGAAGCAGATCCAGGGTTCAAACTTGGCTAAGTCTGATTCTACTGTTCACCTGTCCGTTACACAAGTCATATGGAAAGTATCTACCAATGCCCAAGACACACTAGGTTCTTAATAAATGTCATGTCTTCCCTTTCTCCTTACTTCACTGCCGTCTCCAGGGCTATCTCTCACTGGGGAAGAACTATAATGAGGAACAGAGACAGGGACAGATGCTTGGCAAACCAAAGAGACACAAAAAGAAAGGGATCAATGCCAAGCTCTTAATAGAAAGCCTATAGATCAAACAGATTTTGGCTTTCTTTCTATTAATACCCAGACTCTTGAGGCATTTTATATCCCATAATTTCCTTCTCCGGAACCTACACAAAATGACTTTTAAATGGAAACTTAGGAATACTAAATATCTTAACGTTTCAGATAAAATTAAATCACCTCTAAAACATGTTCAAGGAGCACAGTGGCTCCGCTCCATTCAATAAGCACTTGACTGTGAACCACAAAGTCCACAGTTCGAACCTGCCAACTGCTCCCCAGGGGAAAGATGAGGCTCTCTGCTCCTGCGAAGATTTAAAGCCTCAGAAACCCTGTACAGGTTTCACTATGAGTCAGAATAAACTCAACTGCACTTAACAACAACAAAATATGTTCAAGGAGACCTGGTGATACAGTGGTTATGATGCTTGGCTGCTAACCGAAAGGTAGGTAGTTTGAACCCATCTACCATTCCATGGGAGAAAGACGTGGCAGTCTCTTTCTATAAAGAATATCGTCTTGGAAACTCTATGGGGCACTTTTGAGCTGTCCTATAGGCTTCACTATGAGTCTGGATCAACTCAACAGCCACAGATCTGTTGGCTGTCTTTCAGCCTGGCTCTAGCCTTCATCAAGCTGGGTGATCTTGAGCAAAACCACATGCTGCTCGGTGCCTCTGTGTTTTACATTTATTAACAGAGATGTAAAAATCCTCACCTTGCCTTGCTTAATACTGCTGAGAAAATTATGTAAAGAATGTATGTGAGAATACTTCACAAACTATAAAGTACCGCACCAATGTGGGAAATGATCACGATTAAACAACAGCTTATCAGCCTTGCTGAGGAAAGTCTTGAACAAGAAAAAATAGAGCCAAAAAAGCCAACGTGAGTAGCAAGCTGCAATGAGGAGAATCAGATGGTAAAGATAAACTAGCTGTCAGAACCTCATTTTCAGTGTTGGCAGTTAACCTTCAATCACTTTTATAAGGCCAGGAAACAGCCATATTTTTAATTAAGTGTCAGTGGTAGGCTGAGAAACATTAAATTTAATGGTAAGGTAAGTCAGCGTCTTAAAGAAACACAGTTTCTTACCTCTCCTTCTAAGAAAGATATCTTTTCTAAGAGTTGCAGTATTAAGAGCTGCTTCTGTTGCACCTTTTTCTTTAAGGATTCGATCTGTAAAGACACAAGATAAAAATTATATTCATCAAAAGTATAAAATCATATAAATAGGCTTTCTGAGTGTAGACCGCTAGAAATTCAGGGTGCTGGCTCTAGGGGAGGGTTTCCTCTCTCTGTCAGCTCTGGAAGAAGATCCTTGTGTCTTCTGAACTTCTGCTCCTAGGTGATCTTCATGTGACTTGACATGTGTTTCCCCAAATCTCTGGTTTCTCTCAATTACTTGTTTAATCTCTTTTATATCTCAAAAGGGATTGACTTAAAACCCACCCTACACTAATCCTGTCTCCTTAACATAGCAAAGACAACCCATTCCCAAATGGGATTATAATCAAAGACATAGAAGTCAGGTTTACAACACATATTCTGGGAGGACACAACTCAATCAAAAACAGGGAACTTTACAATTGTGTTACTGGGTTTTCATCGCCTGGATCCTTATTGTTGTTGTTGTTAAGTGCCGTCGAGTCGATTCCGACCCATAGTGACCCTGTATACAGTTTCCGAGGAGCAGCTGGTGAGCTTGAACCACCGACCTTGCAGTTCAAATGGCTTTGCAGTGTGGCGCATTCACCCACAGCGCCACACACCAGGGCTCCACCTGAATCCTTAGCGTCACCCAAAATGGGACAAACAATCATTATGTGTCCCTCAAGTATTACAATACGAAGCATGGAGCACCAGTCACTGAGTCTGAATCTAGTGAAACTTCTAGAGCTAATAAGGCAATCGCCTAATCCAGAATATAGGACCTGTTTATCGGGACAACTAACTCGGTTCCTACAATGAGCCAGTGGATAGGAATAATAGAAGTGGGAGATGCATGGGGAGGGGGTGGCATGCTCTGGAGTTTAGAAACATAACCACCAAGTATAAAGAACCTTGTCTGTATGCTGACTGGAATCAGTAAACATACACATTTTAAAACATCTGTGAAAATTTTATTACTGACTGGTATTAAATGGTACCAAGGAATTATCATTAATTTTGTTAAGTATGTAGTGGCACTGCATTAGGCAGATCTGCTGCACAAGACCTCTTTAAAGCATTCAAGAGCAAGTATGTCAGTTTGAGGACTAAGGTGTGCCTGACCCAAGCCATGTATATTCTATAGCTTCATATGCATGTGAAAGTTGGTCAATGAATAAAGAAGACTGTACAAGAATTGATGCATTTGAGTTATGGTGTTGGAGAATATTAAAAGTAGCACAGATTGTCAAAAGAACAAACATATCTGTGTTGGAAGAAGTATAGCCAGAGTGCTCCTTAAAAGCCAGGACGGTGAGCCTTCGTCTCTCATACTTCAGACACATTATCAGGAGGGACCAGTTCCTGGAGAAGGACATCATGCTTGGCAAAGCGGAGGATCAGCAGAAGACCCCCAATGAATTGGATTGGCACAGTGGCAGCAGCAATGGGTTCCAATGAAACAATAATCATTAGGATGATTCAGGACTGGGCAGTGTTTCGTTCTGTGACGCAAAACCGACTCAACAGCATCTAGCAACAAGATACTGACGTAGTAATTCTGTAAGAAGTATCTCATATGCTTTAGAGAGACATAATGAAGTACACAGGAAAAACAATTACACAAAAGTGGGGCAAAAAAAATAAGAAAAGAGGGAAAAAGGAGGGGTAGATAGAGCAAATGTGGCCAATTCTTGCCATTGTTGAGTCTGTGGAATGAGTCTATAAAGCTTCATTAATTTTTCTTTGTTCTAAGTACATTTGATATTTGTAACTATAAAATCTTTCCAATTCCACCTGATGTCAAGAAATATAACCTTGTGATGTGGAAAGCAAACCATACAAAACAGCATATCATATAAGAAACACACTTCAGAAAAACGTCCATTGTTAATAATAATTAAAGAAATTAAAAATAAAATAAAACAGTAATGAGTCACTGTTTAATACCTATTAAATTTACCAAACACTATTGACTAAAGAAACCAGTGTTGGCATAGCTAGCAAAGACAGTTACTCTCATGTGTTGCAGGTGGCACTGTAAATTAGAATGACCCTTTGGGCAATTTAGCAATAAATATTAAGAGCCATAAAACTGTTCATACCCTTTGACCCACTAATCCCACTCCTGGGAATTAATCCTAAGGATATAATTCAAACGAAGGAAAAAAGCTATATCTACAAAGATGTTCTTGCTCCTATTATTTATAATAGAAAATGGAAATAACCTTAATGTCTAGCACTAAAGGAATGGGTAATAAATTAGGGAATATCAATATGATGGAGTATATTACACAAAAACAAACACTAAAAACAATTATATGAGCATTGCAAAATGAAAGAGTATTTACAAAAAGCCTTGAGGTTAAAAAAAAAAAAAAAGCCTTAAGGTATAGAAAAACAAAAGTTTGCATTAAATAAAGTAAAAACTGGAGGAGAAGTTAAATAAAAATAGTTTGAGGTTGGGGTAAGATTATAGGTCAAAAAGAAAAGAAGAAGATGGTTTTGCTAGCTTTTCTTCAATTTTTGAAAAAATAAGTTTTCAACAATCATCCCTGTAATGTTCCTATTTTAAAATATTTATATGATAGGCATCAATGGGCTCAACCATGGCAACAATTATGAGGTTGGCCCAGGACCAGGCAGTGTTTTGTTTTGTTGTGCATAGGGTCACTATGAGTTGGTACCAACTCGATGGCACCTAATAACAACAACAACAACAACAACAACTGTTGTGGTTGTTGCTGTTAAATGCTGTGGAGTCAGTTCTAACTCACAGCGACTCTGTATAGGGTTTCCGAGAAGCAGCTGGTGGGGTTGAACCACCGACCTTGTGGTTAGCAGTCCAGTGCTGATCCTACATGCCACACTGGGAAGTCACTGTTGTTGCTAAGTACCATCCAGTCAGTTCTGATGCTAAATGACATCATAAACAACAGTATGAAACACTGCCTAGTCATGTACCATCCTTATAATCACTGCTATGTTTGCAGTCCTGGTGTGGCACTGTTGGATAAGCACTGGCCTGCTAATCACAAAATCAATGGTTCAAACCCACCACTCACTCCTTGGAAACCCTATACAAGGTTGCTAGGAGTCAGACTGATTCGAAAGCACTTAACAACCACAACATGTTTGCTATATTGCTGCAGCCACAATGTCAATCTATTTCCTTGAGGGTTTTCCTCTTTTTTGCTCACCCTCTACTTTACCAAGTATGATGTCCTCTGCAGGGACTCATCCCTTCTGATACCATGTCCAAAGTATGTGAGATAAACTTGCCATTCTTGCTTCTAAGGAGCACTCTGGCTGTATTTCTTCCAAGACCGATTTGGTTGTGTTTCTCATGGTGGTGGTTGTGTACTGTCTAGTTGGTTCTGACTCATAGTAACCCTGTATTAGGTTTCCAAAGCTACAAATCTTTACCAGAGCAAAAAAACTCATCTTTTATTCCAAGAGCGGCAGGTAGATGTGAAATGCTGGCCTTGCGGTTAACAGACTAACATATAACCCACCACACTACCAGGGTTCCTTCGTTCTTCTGGTAGTCCATAGTCCATAGACTCAATATTCTTCACCAACACCATAATTCAAATACATCAATTCACATCTGGTCTTCAGTGTCCAGCTTTTGCATGCACATGAGTTGACTGCAAATACCATCGTGCACTTTAGTCCTCAAGGTGGCATCTTTGCTTTTTAACACTTTAAAGAGGTCTTCTGCAGTAGATTTTCCCATTGTAATATGTCATTTGATCTCTCTCCTGTTGCTTCCATGGGTATTGACTGTGGATCCAACTAAAATGAAATCCTTCACAACTTCAAAATTTTCTCCATTTATCATGCTGCTGCTTATTGGTCCAGTCATGAGGATTTTTGTTTTGTTTATGTTGAGGTGTAATCCACACTGGAAGCTATAATGTTTGATCTTCATCAGTAAATCCTTCCAATTCTCTTCACTTTCAAGCAAGCAAGGTTGTGTCATCTGCATATCGCAGGCTGTTAATGAATCTTCCTCCAATTCTGACGCTGTGTTCTTCTTCATATAGTCCTGTTTCTTAAATTATTTGCACAACACACTGACGGAATACATATGGTGAAGGGATACAACCCTGATGCAGCTCCTGATTTGAAACCATGCAGTTTTTCCTTGTTCTATTTGAACGGCTGTTTCTTAGTCTATGTACAGGTTCCATATGAGCACAATCAAGTGTTCTGTAATTCCCAGTCTTCACGATATTATCCACAGTTTGTTCTACTTCACACAGCTATATGCTTTTGCATAGCCAATAAAACACAAGTAAAAATCTTTCCGGTATTCTCTGTTTTCAGCCAAGATCCATCTGACATCAGCAATAAAATCCCTCATTTCATGTCCTCTTCTGAATCCATCTTGAATTTATTCCAGCTTCCTGCTGATGTACTGACTTTTACAACTGTTTTTGAATGATCTTCTGCATAATTTTACTTGCATGTAATATTAATGATACAGTTTGATAATGTTCACATTCTGGTGGATCACCTTTCTTTGCAATGGGCACAACTATGGATCTCTTCCAATTGGTTGGCCAGGTAGTTGTCTTCCAAAATTCTTGGTATAGTGAGTAATTCCAGTGTCGAAGCTGCTTGCTGGAATTAACTAAAGTATGTTTAGGTCAGGGCTAGGCAATGTTTGGTAAGTCTGGAAATTTTAACTTTCAGCCTTTAGTTAAAAAAGAAGTTTCTTTTTTTTTTTCTTTTTCTAATTTTTGTCTTAATTAGCATGTTTCTTTATAACTCAAACAGAGAATATGTTTTACAGTCTAATGGATCCTGCATGATGTTAGATTCTTTTAAGACTACCCATTAGTTTGATATTTAAGAGGGAAGAAGGAGGTGATGATAAAAGTTCTTGTAACTTCTTAAATCTGATGATTTTTTTCTTCACATTAGCAATTAGTTACCCGCATGGGTTATCTGAGTTATTCAATCTGTCCTTCACCACAGTGGTGTGTTGGAATCACTCAAAGTAAGTGGAACTTTATGTCTAA